CCCGGTTCCCCATGCCCTGAGCTGGCAGTGCCCTGTGCCCCATGCCCTGGGCTGGCAGTGCCCTGTGCCCCATGCCCTGAGCTGGCAGTGCCCTGTGCCCCATGCCCTGGGCTGGCTGTGCCCTGAGCTGGTAGTGCCCCGTGCCCAGGGCTGCTGGTGCCCCATGCCCAGGGCTGGCAGTGCCCCGAGGCAGCCCAAGGGTGACTCTGTATCCGGAGCCACCCAAGGTTCACAGGTGAACCCAGTGCGACCCCTCGCCCCAGGGTGTATGGGAGAGCTCCTCCGGTATGATGGAAGAGCCATCAGAAGCAGCGGGAAGGCTCTGCCAAGGATGAACTGCTGTGATTCTTGGTGCTGCGGCGTTGCCTCCGGGTGCTCCTGCCCTGCCTCTGCCCTCCCAGCCGCAGCCTGGTTTAACCTGCAGGGCGCAGCAGGTCAGCCCTGCTCGCGGCTCTGAGCTGTGTCTGCGGCCAGCTCGACGGGAATCACCCTTGATTCCTGTGCCTGCTGAGGAGGTGACGCTCCCTGAGCTCTGCTCACTGAGCGGTGCTTTCCGAGAGCTCCCTGGGAATGGTCTGTGTTGGCTTCAGCAACGCTCAGTTCTTCTAGCCCAGCGTTTCTTACTGATTTTAACGAAAAAAGCAGCAATTTTATGTTGTTTTGCTGGTGTGTCTTGGTGAAAGGTAGCAGGTAGAGAGGTAAACTTGTACAGTTAGAAATATAGTGGATTGCATCCTGAGATTTCTCTGTTGGGTTTGGGTTGGTTTTTTTAAACTGAATATGTTGAAATCAGTAATTTATGATAATTTATGAATACGCCAACTACTCGAAAGACACCAAAAGTGGCTGCTAGCTACTCAGATTTACAGTAATCACAAAATGGTTTAGGTTGGAAGAAACATTAAAGTTCATCTCATTCCACCTCTTGCCATGGGCAGGGACACCTCCCACTAGCCTAGGTGGCTCCAAGCCCCATCCAACCTGGCCTGGAACACTCCCAGGCATGAAGCAGCCACAGCTGCTCTGGGCAACCTATGCCAGTGTCTCACTACCCTCACAGGGAAGAATTCCTTCCCAATATCCAGTCTGACCTTGCCCTCTGTCAGCTTGAAGCCATTTCCCCTTGTCCTGTCACTCCATGCCTTTGACAGAAATCCCTCTCCAGCTCTTCTGTAGCCTCAGGTACTGAAAAGGGCTTTAAGGTCTCTCCAGTACCTTCTCTTCTGCAGACTCTCCCAGCCTAGCTCCATAGCAGAGCTGCTCCAGCCACTACTGTAGAACTTGTTTTAAAGCCAGAACTGGTCAGTGAGGTGTGTTGCTGTTGTTTATTTCAGGTATGTGGGCACATTCGATGACAGTGCAGGATTACCAGGACCTCATAGACAGAGGATGGCGAAGGTAAACTGAAAAAGAAACTCCAAAGCTCTGTTGTCAGCTTAGATTCAATTTAGAATCCACATTTAAAATGTAGATCTGTGAAAACAGTTAACTCGTTTCCGTTAGTAGCTGAAATACAACGATTTGTCCAGTGCTCTGTGACCTTTTGTAACATGACAGAGTTGAACAGGAAATGCCTCAGTTACTTTAGAAGGATAATATTGTAGTATAGCAACAAAGAGCTGAAGAACTTGACATTTGTTACCATGTAATGCCTTGATATGATTTTAATTGAAAAGGTTGTTCTTCCATTTGTGTTGTAATACAAACAGCAAAAAAATCAATTTGTGTTTATTGCCATTTTCAGAAGTGGGAAGTATGTCTACAAACCTATCATGAATCAAACATGTTGTCCTCAATACACAATAAGGTAAGAAGCTCAAAATACTCTTCTGTGAGGTATTTGGCTACTTCAAATATGTTCCACCATTTGTGTTTAATGCTTTAAACACATCATACTTGAAGTTTATCTACTTTTAATGGTACTTTGATTAGTAAATATATAGTGTAATTTTTAAGCAGTTCTTTAGCTTTTTTTTTTCTGGGACAATCTTTCACAAAACAAATGGTCATCATCTTCTCTCTTTATTTTCTTTTCTTTTAGGTGCCAGGCTTTGCATTTTCAGACCTCCAAATCTCACAAGAAAGTTCTGAAGAAAATGTTGAAATTCATTTCTAAAGGAGATGTTTCAAAAGGAGCAAATGATGGTAAGAAACTCTTAGTGTTTGAAAACCAATCCTGATGTTTGGAAGGAGGATTAAATACCTACTTGAGTGACCAAATGGCCAATAGGCTTTGCATTTCATGGGTAGGTTGTGTCTTTGTGGTGTGTTTTGAATCAAGAGTCCTTACATAGCCCAGAGACCCAATTGTGCAGCTCACTTGCTGGGTTGAAGAATTCACATACTTTTTCCATAGACCAGCTTATTTTCTTTTTCATCTGGGCACTTGCTGACTTCCTGACTGGGTGCCATAGAGACTTAGACCCTGTTTTCACTTTTGTCACAGAAGTGATAAACTGGAGAGGACTAAGCAGAACAGTGTGTGGCAGAGAAAAGGAAAAGCAAGCAAAAAGGCTTTTTCTTCCAGGTGATTGAACAGTCACACTCCATTTATCCAGCACCAAACCCAGCTATTCTCCCTTGTGGTGGAACTTGTGTAGGTTCTGAATCATTACAATTTGCCTCTTTTGTGTGGTATGTTAGGGGTTTTGGACCTTTCTTGTTGTTTGTTTGAACTTATGGCCTGAGGTTAGCTGACTGTCCCATTTTAGTGGAGAAAATAAAACTGTTCCCATAAATCATGGAATCATAGAGTGATAAGGGGTTGGAATGAACCTTAAAGATCATTTAATCCCACCCCACTGCCCTGGACAGGGACTCCTCCCACTAGACCTGGTTGCCAACCAAGTGAGTTGGTGTTGGTAATTGAGGGTCGTTAAGGAAACATTGCCTTCAGACTGTTACAAACTAATTTCATCCGTTGGAAAACACTTGTAAAATTGGAACTAAGTTAATTTCAATTGTGTGAAGTGTGAGCTGTGTTTACACCGAGAGAAATTCCCTCATGCACTGTTTGTTATTTCCAGAAGAGCCGATGGATTCCCATATTGAGGATGCAGTCGCCTGTGATTTTCCATACAAGAGTGAGTCTCATGTCAGTCAGTCTGAACTGACTCCCTTGGGAGAGGATCACACTGGGAGCGTTGGGAATGAAGATAAGGACTCAGGAGAAACAGAAGAAGAGGTGAATGTGCAGAAGGTGGAGTCGGATTCCCTTCAGATCTGTGCAGACAAGGACACTCCTGTCCCTGGAGAGCCATCACACTCAGCTAAAGTTGTTCATGCACCACCTAAGCCAGGTACTCACATTTCTGCTTGGAATTGGAATATACTGTCATGGTTTTGCATGTTGTTGAAGTCCTTTTGTTTATCTTGCCAAGTAAAACAGTGGTTGGTTGTTTTTATTCCCTTACTCCTCCCAATCTGTGGCACTGCAGTATATAAATAGGGAGTTGCTGGGTGTTACTTGTTTCCTTAGTTTTTCCTGAAGGTTGCATTGAGTTTCATGATATTAATTTTTTTATTTCTGTTTTGGTTTTAGTTTAGTTGTGGTGAATACATAACTACACACAATAGTTTTCTGTAACTTAATTAGATTGCAGTCAGATAGGTCAAGATGACAGAATCTCATCGCACATTGGGATCAGTTCCCAGTTCTGGATACTTTTGTGTGCAGAAGATGTACTCCCAGCTCACCCTTTCTGCTGTAGGTGTGGTGTCTCAGGCTTTGTGTACCTTGAGGTGTGGTGCATAGAATCACAGAACACCTCGAGTTGGAAGGGACCCATAAAGATCATCTTGTCCAATTCCCTGGTTGTCAAAGCTGCATGCGCCTCTGGCTG